GAGGTCGCGAAATTGTATGACGTTAATACATTCTGCTCAACTTGTGATCTTCACCCTTTTCAAACTTCTACCGGGAAAACAATGTTTCAAGTTATGTGAAAACTAATTGGTAGTCAGAAGTAAATGTAACTGTCACCAAAACTTCACACAAAACCGCGGAAAGGGAGACTTTTGAAATACCTCTAGTTTGCGCCATCGGTGCACATTAATTGGATTTTTAAGTTCCTCCTCTAGCGCCTTGCACCGAGTTTGTTCGCGCAGCAGCTCCTTTTGGGCTCGATAGACTTCCTTCTTTAGGTCGTCCACCTTTGCTATACTGGCCTGCAACATGGCCTTCTCCCGCCGGCTTTTGCGGATCTCCAGCTTCAGCACACGAAGGTCCTCCAGACGCTGGTTATACTGCGTCTCACCCTGATTTAAAATGGACTGCTGGATGCGAATCTTTTCGTAGAGCAGGGCCAGCTCATCGTTTCGACGGACCAACTGCGTGCCCAGAATGTCCCGCTCACTGATAACCTGATCCAACTCCTTTTTATGACGTGCACGCTCAAACTCGGCCTCCGAAATTATTTTTAGTAGTTTCCGCTCCTCCGCCTCTTGGGATTCAATGAAGGCACGGTTTTCAACCATGGTATTCTTGATGTTCTGCAAGTCCATATTCATGTTATCACGTTCAGCCTCCACTCGCTGGCGTTCAATGTTCTCCTGCACAATTATAGCATCCTTGGTGGAAATCTCGTCCTTCAGTTGGGCAATCTGATGGGTCATTATGCGCAGTTTGCGCTTCATCTCGGCAATCTCATCCTGCGCCTCAATGAGGTTCTTGCTGTAGAGATTTCGATCACCACGCACGGCCTCATACAGGTTCTGCTGCTGCTTCAGCTTTGTTTCCGCCTCGGCAATCTTCTTTTTAAAGTCAAAGATCTGCATCTCACGCAGTTTCACCTCCTCCATGTGTTCGAGGACCTTCTGTGTGAGGTCAGAGGCCTCACTGATGTAGCGATCTCGCTCACGTTCCAACTGGCAGATGAGCTTGCGCTGTTTCTGCGCCTCATCCTTGTAATTGGAAATCTCCTGCTCGAGGTTCCGTTTTGACTGCTCATGCAGGCGGAGGAGGGTGAGTTGTTTGGTTGTCTGACCAGTCATTTTGATGAGATTCTTTGACAGAGCGTCGCGTTCCTTGGTCAGCTCCTCACAGGCCTTGCGGTCAATATCCATGGCCCGCTTCATCATCTCCATCTCCTTCTCGATGGCAGCGATGCCGTTGCGCAGTTCCTCACGTTTACTCTCCAGCTCGGCTTTCTTGTCCTCAATGGTGCGCAGCCGGCGGCTGGCCGTTTCGCGTTGTTTCGTTAACTTGTTGTTCTCGCTCGTGACGGCATCCACCTCGGACTCTCTTTGCTAAAACGAAAGCCAACAAAGGGAGAATTAAAGTATTCCGATATAAACAAGGTGAAAAGTTAGGTGCGTAGTGACTAGCTCCATTTGAAGTGCACTTTTGAACGCTTGTCATGACTAGCACAAGTCGAAGTGCACTTTGGGAACGCTTGCTGTCCTCGGCCTCTGGAACAGCCAATCACAGGCCGATTCACACAGGACCTCACGTGACGACTGCCGAGCAGAAATTGCTTCCGATGCCGTCCACTGGCTTGCAGTTGTGCGGTCGTCTGACAGTCAATTTCCTACTGTCTACTCTCCCATTCCTTCTGTACAGAATAAACTCTTCCTACAACTCTGGCCTCCCATGAATTCTTTTTATCTCTTGAGGAACCTGGCCTGAAGATTGCAGTTGCCAGAATCTAACGTACTTAAGCCCCTGCGATAGGCCCGATGGCGACCGCCTATAGTCTTTTTACATAATGGATCCTCATTAGTACGTTTACGGAGAATACGAAGGTATTGAGAACATGTTTATGACTCTTTTATATCAAATGTCTTGTAAATTGCGGTCCTACATGTTAATTATAGGGGATAGTACAGTCAACAGGCCATAGGCAACGGTCATGTCTCGGAATTTAAAGAAAAAACTGCAAACGAGGTTGTAATGGCATAAGCGATAAATAAAAACTGACGCGGCCCATTTTAAACCGCTTCTTTGGAATTTAATTTTATCAGCCTATCTAGGGCGGGAGTTAGAATGCTGTTACGTTATCATCTGCCCCGATAGTTTCCTATTTAAGCGAAGGATAAATGAAACAAACAAACTTGGGCAGGATTGCTTTTAGAGGCCCCCAAAATCGCGTCGACTCATAATAAATGACTACTTTTAAATGTTCGGTAGCCCGACTTTAAATTTTTTCGTTAAATTCCACCAATAGGAGGATGAATTTCCATTTCTTTAAATTCCGCCTACACAAGGTCGAATTTCACTTAATCTGCATTCATAACCTGCGCAACAGGAGTTCATGTTGATGGAATTTTATTATATTTTAGCTTATAACAACAAACGTAATCTTATTAAATTTAGAAGAGTATTTGGCGAGCATACGTAGCTTTCGATAAATTCTCTTCGGGCCG